TGTACTGAGCTCCATTCCCAGCCATTTTCCATATTTTATTTTGAGGTAGGTTCTTGCTAAGTTGCCCAGGCTGAGCTCCACTTGTGACCCTCGGCATCAGTCTCCCATAGTGGTGGGACCATAGGCAAGCACAACCATGCCTGGTCTGCATCTACTGAGTTGTTTTTAGCTCAACAATCCCTATTTTTGGGTGGCATATTCTGGTCTCCCCCACTGGTTTCTCTTGGTGTCATCCAGCTTGCGGGGTTGTGTACTGCATTCCGTGAGATTGTTGCCTGTGTGAGGTGCTCCCAGATAATTTGTCCTTTATACGAGTCAGTTGGGACGTGCTGCTGCCTCCTCCTAAACTATCTCCAAACACTTCGCACCAGTGTATCCTCTCCTGATCTCCAGGCTCCTCCAGCTTTTTGACAGCTACCCACTCAAAAACCATAAGCATTTGGTTTTATTTTGCATGAAGTACTGAGCCGAGAGCTATTTCCAGTGTTACACTAGCGTTAGAAGAGGCTCAACATCTTTCCTCATGGAGAAATGTCACGGATCGTTGCCGTGGGGTCACAATGAGGCTTAGTATTTGGCAGAGTGGCACATGATGAGTGCTGACTAAATATTTGGTGGATGTATAAGTCCTGTGGGAAGGGCTGGGACTGTATACATACCATAAGTGGGTGCAGCCTTCCCTATTCCAGATGGGCTGCTTCTAAAGAACACATGGTGTCTTCACAGAGGATTTTGGAGACATTGGCATCCCCACCTAGCCATCTAACCCAAGAGTGGGACCAGGCTCAGCTGGAGAAGGCAAATATAACCAGGGGCCCTATGATCTTTTGCTACCAAGTTGGCTCCTGTTATGGTTGATATTAGTAGATGTCCCCACAAAGCCTCGTGGGGGAGGTGACTGGAGTATGGGATACTGGAGTAGTCCACTTATGGGTTTGCAGCTTGGTGTGATGTCGGAAGGTGAAGACTGCTTGGAGGAAGTGAATCACTACAGATATGGCCTGGGAGGGTCTTTCTCCATTTTTTTTTTTTTTTTGT